ATATATATATATATATATATATATATATATATATATATATATATATATATATATATATATATATATATATATATATATATATATATATATATATATATATATATATATATATATATATATATATATATATATATATATATATATATATATATATATATATATATATATATATATATATATATATATATATATATATATATATATATATATATATATATATATATATATATATATATATATATATATATATATATATATATATATATATATATATATATATATATATATATATATATATATATATATATATATATATATATATATATATATATATATATATATATATATATATATATATATCCTATAAGAAAGTCTGAGGATCAACAGTAGCTACTTACAAATACCAAAGTTCAGAGCTCCTTCTGCAAACAGAGCAGTTCAAGCCATCACTGGACCTTTAAAAGCTTATAACACGGTTTATACTTCATGAAAGGTCAGACATAAAAAAGCTTCCAGTAGACTTGAATGCACTCTTTTCTATCTTTACTTCCAACATTTTCCTTTTTTTTATATGCTTAACACAATTTCTAGATTACATCCAATCCAGGGAAACCTAAAAGTAACTCTACTACCTATATGTCCATCAACAAATTTAATCATAAGCTTCAGAAAATCAGATCAGCTATTCCTTATTAAATGCACCACAATAAGTTACATAAAAATTATTACACCTACCCTATCCTACAGCTTCAGTCATCAACAATGTAAAAAACAATAATGATAATAAAAAGGGAAACAAATCACTTTACACCTGATATAAAAAATTACATCCTTATGAAATCTTACTCATTTCTTTAACCCTTTCAAAAACAAGTGAAAACTGACAAAATTTATGAATGGAAAATAAATTCTGATGCATGGCAGAACAGTATGTAATCAATAAGATATCCTAATCCTTTCAAGTCTAACCTTAGGCAGACTTATATTTTCATAAGATTGATAATAATTATTACAATACTATAATCAAATCATAAACACAACAGCAGGAAATAACATTAACAAAAAAATTATAGATAAATAAAAAATAATAAAAATAATAATTATAACAAAAATAATAATGATTATGATTATGATAATGATAATTAATATGAAAATATAAAAAAATAATAGTAATGAGAACTAAATAAAAGTCTACCTATTATAATAATTAATATAATCAAACATTGTGATAATAATAAATATCATTAACATTAATATCTTTGACCTACCAACTACCATTTTTTTTCTGTTTTTTGATTTACACCGATGGCTCCACAAGCACTCATCGATCATGGAGTCAATTAGCAAGTCCTTGCAACTGCATCTGATTTCCCCATTCTTTGAATTAGTTGAAAAATGTGTTTTATATTTTTTACATTAACATCAATACTCTATAATTAACTTTATGATATTCGTATTACTTTTTTATTAAATACTAATTACAATAAGATAAACCCTTTGGTCACAGACTCATGAAATCATTTGGTGGAATGAGTTGCCATGGCACCACATAATGACACTCTGCGCCATCAGCCTGTCAGAGGTAGCTCACCTTTTCCCACTGAAGAACATTTGTTTGATGTCATTAGATACAGGAACTTAAAGTGAAGGGAAACTTTTTTTCTTTTCTTTTTTCCATAACATATAGTTACAAGTTATTAGGTCCCTAGTGTTACATTGGAAGTACCAGGAAATGGATAAACAGGTGAGATAGATAGGCCTAATAATTGCTTCCTTGGTGACCAAACACTTGTGGAGCCCCGTCTATATGTAAACACAATTGATAATCTAAATTTACTGTGGTCATGGCATGAATTTTTGCCATAAGGGGTCCCTAGGTTAATTTTGAAAATAACATTTAAAATTATAACAACAACAATAATTTATATAATAATAATAATAATAATAATAATAATAATAATAATAATCATAATAATAAAATGGATAAACATTAAGATGATAATAATAATAAATATAAAAGTAATAACAATTATGATAATATAATGCTAATGATGACAATGGTAACAACAACAATAACAATAATAATCATGATTATAATAATAATAATGATATTAATAAAGATAATTTAACTAATTATAACAATAATAACAATAATATTAATAATAATAATAATAATAATAATAACAAAAATAACAAAATAACAAAAATAACAAAAATAATCATAATAATCATAATAATAGTAATAGCTGTAATAATAATAATAATAATAATAATAATAATAATAATAATAATAATAATAACAATAATAACATTAATAACAACAACAATAATAATAAGAATAATAACAATAATAAGAAGAAAACATCTCTAAAAACACATCTAATGCTAGTTGCCTATCTACTACTGCAGTGCCAACACAAAAAGCTAACAGGAGTTCATAAATAATCAAGTAAATCTACAACTGATTTCCTAAAACACAAATAATTATAATACAGAGCATAGTTATTCTGTTTTTTTGTTTAAGCAGGAAAAAATGCAATGAATGCTTCGTTTCAACATATAAATAATGCAAAAACTGCACCAAACTACTAAATACTCATAACAAGAGATATTTTCTTATGGACTATTTTGCCCATTTATCCCCAAATATCCAACATTAGGGGCTTATCAAATTTTGTCTGTATTGTATACACACTATACACACATATATAAATATACAAATATATATATACGTGTGTGTGTGTGTGTGTGTGTGTGTGTGTGTGTGTGTGTGTGTGTGTGTGTGTGTGTGTGTGTGTGTGTGTGTGTGTGTGTGTGTGTGTGTGTGTGTGTGTGCATACACATCTATGTATATATATACCTATTATATACATATATCATATATATATGTATATATTATACTTATGAATGAATGCATCGTTTCAACATGTGTGTGTGTGTGTGTACGTGTGCATGTACATGTGCCTGTGTGTGTGAGTGTGCCTGTGGGTGTGCCTGTGGATGTGCCTGTGGGTGTATGTGAGTGTGTGTGTGTCAGCATATGCATGTGTGTATATGCATCTGCATGCGAATGTGCGTCTGGATATGCACATGTAATTGTGTGAAGTCCTTTCAGTACTTTTAGACTTCAACTGAACCTACATATAGTTACTAAAAAATCATGATTACTTTCACAATTTAAAAAATAACCTTAATACTAACTGTACTTTTCCTATCAGTAAAATAATGATAAAAACCATAAGTACCACTACATCATACTAGTGGTACTTTCTAGCATCATTTCTCTACTGTTCTTTGGACAAGTGCCTCTATACAGGCATTAAGGCTTTTGGAAACTTGCATTTAGAACAGTAATTGGCACCCTTTATCATATAAATGTGTAAATGTTGGACAATTTTCAAGTCTAAAAGTACAAGTAGTATTTCCTAACTCTGCACAAATATGTGTGTGTGTGTGTGTGTGTGTGTGTGTGTGTGTGTGTGTGTGTGTGTGTGTGTGTGTGTGTGTGTGTGTGTGTGTGTGTGTGTGTGTGTGTATGTGTGTGTGTGTGTGTGTGTATGTGTATGTGTATGTGTATGTGTATGTGTATGTGTATGTGTGTATGTGTATGTGTATGTGTATGTGTATGTGTGTATGTGTATGTGTATGTGTATGTGTATGTATATGTGTATGTGTATGTGTATGTGTATGTGTATGTGTATGTGTGTGTGTGTGTATGTGTGAGAATAATCAAATGAAAAATAACTAGGCCAAACCATCTGCACACTTAGGATATCCCACAAGTCCCCAAAACAAGAATTAATTAAAACAGTATATACATTCTGAAATTATAAATATCATGAGACAATTAACTTTATTTCAAGTAACCATCCAAATACATTATATAAATATATATATACATATATATACATATACATATATATATAAATATATGTATCAATAAATATATAATTTATTTCATTTTTAAGATCAAATTCATTCTCATACTCAAAAATGATTTTAAGTCATCTTCACTATAAGCTACAAGGATAAATACAGCCCAAATATACTCAACACAGTTGCATGCATGCTCACACCACACTCAAGAGCCACAATCCCATTACAAACAGAAGCTTAAAATATACAAGCTCTTTATTTATTGTTTCTTTTTACTGAGACCATATCCATTTATGTATAAACAAGTACTGTACACAAGAGTTTTGTTCATACAGCACAAAGACAGTCTGAAAAAACATTTATCGATTAAACAAAATATATTCAATTACAAATCTATCAACGCTCTTCACTCTCCTTATATATCTTCAAACTAAGATATGGGCATCGTGACAGAAGACAAACCACACAAAGCAAAAAACCCATGAGGCTCACACACTAAACTCACTCATGCAGACTAGCCAAGCATTCTTCTTGTCGATCTTGCATGTCCCACAATAATCAAACACACACTTTGAAAAGCTAGAACACCCAAGAACTCTCAACATTACTCCTTTTTACATATCAACCTATACTTTGTGTAGGAAACTAGAAATTCTACTACTACTACATTTTGATTTGGAAAATTCAATTTCAGAACTTTCCTTTCTGGACCTTTTTCCTGTAATAATCAGTCAATCTCTAAACTTCATTATCTGTCTTTACCTAAAATGATATAAGTATGCATATCAGCATCTATTTTAACCCCTATAATACCTAGTACGGGATCGTAACAAGTTATCAATCTCTAATACCATTAATATTCAAGTTTCATTAATATTTCATAAACTCTGTTTATAAGATATTCTCTCTTCTACCAATGTCAATACTAACAAATATTTCATTCCTATTGTCATGGAAAATTTTGCCAAATATTTAAACAAATATGCATTCTAATTTGAAAGTGGATTTTGCCTCTTAATTCCTGTCAATAAATCTAATCCTATTCGTCGGAAACATCCTATCCATTGATGAAACTGACTAGCCACTACATTCTACTCCTACAACAGGTCTTTGTTGTCACTCAC